AAGAAAGGCAATGATGATGATGATGATGATGATGATGATGATGATGATGATGATGATGACGATGACGATGATGACGATGACGATGATGATGATAAGCAACCACAACATTAACTCCTCCATTTCTATCTCTGTCCACAAATATCTACATGCCCGTTGTCTTTTGTATTTTCATTTTTTTAAACCTTTTAGTTTCGTTTTCCCTTTTCACCCTACAAGCAGCCTCGCAGATATACAAACAATAGCTACAAGACCAGGGAAAGAGAAATAAGGCGGGGGTGGGGGGGGGTGGAGGAAGAGAGAGAAGATACACGCACATTTATTATATAATGTGTAAATTTATTTTTTTTATTTATTTATTTATTTATTTATTCATTTATTCATTTATTTGTTTATTTGTTTTTTTTCTTCATTCATCGTATTAAAACCTGGCTCTATCTACTTGTGCTGTATATCAATTTAAGACTAAGTAAAAATTCCGCATCATCTGACTCACTAATTTTTCTACGATAAGAGTCGCTCGAGATATGGCTATTCAACATTAACCTTTGAATATCGCGCTTGCCAAAATTGATTGAAGTGAAAGAAACGTAAGAGTGTACTCACGATTTTATTGGAGTGTTTCAGCATTGGTGGAATGGACATGTTTTGTATATGAAATGAATATTATAGAATATTATTGTCTTTGTAATGAACAATGTTTTATAACGATGTTTTCAGACAGATTGGAAAAAAAGAGCAATCACAAACACCATGCAAAACTTGGACTTAACGTTAAATTATGTGCTCATTATATCATCCAGTGCCAGATCTGTGACAGACATCGGCGGTCATAGTTTTCCATTCATTCCTTTGCTCGGATGCTGCCAAAAAAGCTACGTTTCCCCGATCTTTCCCTATTACCCATTTGTTTAGGTTCCCTAAGTATGTTGTTCTGGGCCTACCCCTGCCTCGCTTGCCCTCCATTTTGCCAATGAGAGCTAGATGTTCAAGACCCTTATGTCTAATCAGATGTCCAAAAAACTGCATTTGTCGTTTCCTGATTGTTTTTAACATTGTGTGTCCCATCAAGCATCATCAAGCTCTACCTCATTTGATTTCTTTTCCTTCCTTTCATATGTATAATATTTACGACCCTTTGGTTTCGTGTTGATCACTAACTCGTTTTGGGTATGGACTTTGGCACATTTTGAACATAATTGGTCGCTTTTAAGGACTAGCGGGCTAACCCAGATTTCGTGGGTTTCCGGAAACCTTGATCTACACCAAAAGTGGGCATTGTCCTACCTATAGGAAAAGTTTGGTTTTATTGGTGTGTATATTTGATTGGTTATAGAGAAAATTAACTCTCCTTGTCTTTTAAAGAAAACAAGGGGCAAAAACTTTACCTTCGATTTTCTCAAAACAGCATTTTTCGGGATAGCCCCCTTGTGCTTAAAAGCGACCAATTATTATCATCTTTCACTGAGAAACAGAGACCACAAAAATGCCATGGTTTATGGGTGGCTTGTCTGGATTTAACAAAAACGTCATTTGTGAGATGAAACGGGTGGCTTTGTTTAGATCATTAAGTCAGGCAAGTGATGGAACGTCAAGTCGTATCCTTACTTTCATCATGGTGTCATTCAAGCAAACATCTTTATGCATGACAAAGCACGTATTTCCCACAAGGTCAACGACCCTATTCAATTCTTGGAAAAACAAATCATACCAACGATGGAGTAGTTATCAGTATAGTCCCGATATGAATCCTACAGATTATGTAGAGCCCCATGAAACAGCTGCTGAAAAAATAGGTCTTTGCTCCCAGTTCAGATGCTTTGTTTGCAATTCTCTGTGACATCTGGGATGAAATGACAAATAATGATCTCCAAAATTTAACTCAGTCCTTACCCAAAGGGTTCGTACTTACTAAAAAGAACAGTGTCTCCTGAACAAAATAGGCTTACTAATGAGCTCATAAAGTGACTTGTTCAAGTTTTGTGGCTATGTTTTCCAATCTGTTTTAAAGAAGCGTAAAGCGATATTTGTTATCGTCGAAAAGAAAATTATCTATTTATTTGATATGCAATACACGTCCATTCCAGCAATGATGGAGTGCCGCAGTACACCCCCAAACTTACTTTCCAGTTTCTTTGATTTAACAGAATTGTGTCAAAACTAATTTTTGAGTTAGATTATTTGGAGTCGTTATCAACATAATGTTCAAATAATCGCTTTCGGAAAAGCTTGACGTGTTGTGAAACTTAAAATTTTTAAGGTAGAATTTTTAAAACTATACAGTGATAGAACTTTGTAAAGTATGAAACTGTGTTTCGTCAGTCGGTTGTTACAATGTACTCATCATCATCATTATCATCATCATCATCATCATCATCATCATCATCATCATCATCATCATCATCATCATCATCATCATCATAAAGCGCCATATCTGCGATAGACATTGATGAGCATGGTTCCCCCATTCATTTCTCTTCTCGGATGCTCTCAAAAAAGCTACGTTATCCTGATCGCTCCCGTCACCCATCTGTACTGTAAAGGCCTTCCAATGAAGTACCGTGTAACAGATTCTCCTTATATCGCTATCCGAGAAATATAAATTTCTACCTTCTCAGTACCAGGTGTTTTAGAAATTCGACGTCAAAAATTTTGAGTTTCACAGCATATCAAGCTTCTTCGAATGAAATTCTTTGAATATCTAGATAGCGACTCCAATAAATAATTTCATGATTTTGATACAGCAGAAAGAACATTTGGTTTCTGACCCATTGGTCTAATATAGAACTTTGTAATTCTAAGAAAAGGGCAAGACAAACCCTATTTAACAAAATGAAAAGAATAAAAAATACAATGCTTTGGTGATATATATATATATATATATATTATTATTATATATTTATATATAAAACACCACCAGACCATTATAAAGAAAATATGTGAAGGCAATATGTGGTGCAAAGGGAAAAGGGTGGACAAAGAACAACGCGGAGAGATAACATTAAGGCATGGACTGGCCTAAGTACAGACTTCAACATAAGTAAAGGGTCACTTGCAAATTTGACTTAAATTACCCGGGGATTTCTGAGCTGTTTATCGTCGGACAGCTGTTATAATGTAATCATCATCATCATCATCATCATCATCATCATCTTCATCATTCATTCATAATGAATGACGAACCACCACGAACAGAAAGGATTAAAACTAAAGGTACATTCCTTACATCATCTTATGACGAGGAATGCCAGGCAATGATGTCTGCTGCACAATGGATTGCTGACAATTGCCACAGTAGGACCAATGTGCTGATCTTGACTGACAGTCAGTCCATCTGAAAGGGGCTGCTGAGCAACAGCTCGGACATAAATGATTTGAGCCACAAGTTCAGTGAAGCCAGAGCCACAATAAAAATCCAGTGGATTCCAAGCCATGTTGGAATAGAAGGAAATGAAGCAGCAGACCAAGCTGCTAATGAAGCCAGAGAGATCGAAGGAGACAGACGACCAACAACATACAGAGGAGTTTTTCCAATGCTTAAAAGGGAAATCAGAGACCCACCATGTAGAACTAAGTACCAGCACCTGGAAAGATGTGTATTCTGGGTACTCCTATAAGCGGGAACAAAATGTCGCTGGGACCAGGTTGAGCTAGCGAGACTGCGGTCGGACCATCATTGGAGCTTGAGATGGTATAAAAACTTTGTAAATGAAGAGCTCAGCCTGTGTTGCCGAAGATGCGGCCATGAAAAGGAAGATGTCAAACATATGTTGGAATGTCCAGGAACTATGGCAATTCGAATGGAGTTATTTGGACGAGTGGAGATGCCGCTAAGCATATTGACAATGGAGCCGAAAAAGAGCCTCGCTCTCGCTCAAAGATTTCTTCGTGGAGTCCGTCTGGCCCATTAAGGAAACAAAAAAAATCATCATCATCATCATCATCATCATCATCATCATCATCATCATCATCATCATCAAGTGCCAGATCTGAGACAGGTATTTTGGTGAGCATAGTTCCCCATTCATTCCTTTGCTTGTTCGGATGCTCTCGAAAAAAAAAACTACATTATCCTGACCGTTCCCTGCCACCAATCAGTTTAGGCTCTCCAGTGATGTATCGTGAGTCAAATTTTCCACATATCGCTATCCTAGATTTCTAAAGTTCTATCCACTCAGTACCTACTTGGGTTGGGTTGGTTTGTTTTGTTTGTTTGTTTGTTGTTGGTATTTTTGTTTTGTTTTGTTTGTTGGTGTGTTGTTGTTGTTGTTGTTGTTGTTGTTGTTGTTTGTTTTGTTTTTGGTTTTTTTTTTGGGGGGGGGGGTTAAAGAAATTCGGCGTTAAAAAAATTGGAGTTTCACAACATATCAAGCTTTCCGAATGAATTTCGCTGAATATCTTGACAACGACTCCGATGAATAATTTTCGTGATTTTGATAGAGCAGATAACAAATATCGATGACGTGAAAGATCAAATAACAGTTACAATCAACGCAGAGGACCGAGACACCCTTAGGCGCGTTAGGGAGAAATTTTCATATCGGTTTGATGTTGTCCGTGCTGCCGGTGGTAGCAGCATTGAGAACTTGTAAAACAGGAAATAAAAACGTAACTTTTTGAACCACCCTGCATTATAATATACATTTCATAAATAAGTTTCCCTATCTCATAAAACCAAAAATATTCAAGGTAGCCATGTCAAAACTTGGTGCACTGCTACACCAACATTTTTGGGAAGTCCCTTTAAAATTTGAAGACACTTTGTTGAACGAGACTTTCTGGTGGTACTTGTAGTAGAAAGGCCGGCAAAGTACTGGAAGATTCATCAGTGCAACACACATGTTCAAGATATGACATTCGTATCATTATAAAATGTTCTGATCTGTTGGGTAAGACTACTCCTAAACTTCACAGTGATCTTTTTACAGTCTTGGTAGCGAATGCACCTTCTGTTCAGACTGTTAGGAAGTGGGCAAAAAGCTGTTTCAGAGGGTCGAGAAGAGATGGAAGATGAAAGTCGTCCAGGTCGGCCAGTCACAGCGTGTGGTGATGCCAACGTCTCTAAAGTGGTCACTTCACTGAATGATGACCGGGGGAAAACATGTGAAGAGATTGGAAATGAAACATCAGTGTCCAGAACCTCGGTATTTAGAATTATCACCAACAAACCCATTAAGAAAAATATGTTTTCAAAATGGGTCCCTCATTTGCTGACACAGGAACAAAAGGAGTCAAGGATCAGTTTCTCTCTGAATTTCAAACTGAGATTTCAAACTGAACACAATACATTCCTGGATCGAATCTTCACTGATGTTCAAACTTGGATTATATTCCAGGGACCCTGAGATAAAACGCCAGTCTGCCGAATAGAGAGACAGTGATGAGCCACGTCCAGAAAAAGCAAACAAGGGGCTCACAAGGTGATGCACGTGTTCTTTTTTTACACAAAAGATGTGATTCTGCGCTGGCCTGTTCCCACAGGCACTACAACCAATGCCCAGTACTACAAGATACAAGAATTTTTTATTTTTTTAAAGAAAAACTGAGACCTGACATTCGAAAAAAGAATGACCCGGGCTATTGGAATCAGGAGTTGTATTGCATCACGACCGTGCGCCAGTTCACAAAATCCAGGCGGTGACCGACGTTTTGGCTGGCTATGAGAGGGAATTGCTGGAACATCCGCCCTATTCCCTTGACCTGGCCCCGTTTGATTTCAGCCTATTCCCCAAGATGAAAGAACACTTTCGTGGACACCGATTTCAGTCAGAGGAGGACATCATTCAAGCAACAAAAGAGACAATTAAGTGGCTGGATAAAAGCACTTGCGTCAGTTTGGTTAACGGCTGGCTACAGCGCATGTAGAACTGCATTGACAACAGTGGATGATATGTTGAATAGAACAGATATAAAAGGTACTAGCTGGGACCCCTTTCGATGAAAGGAATGATAGGTGCATTAACACCAACTGAATTTGACAAAGGAGTCCAGAAAAAACGACGATGGGCATCAAACGAAAAGATCACAGTCGAATTTAGCACCAAGTAAAAGAACAAAAAACAGGAGGCTAGATCTATACGGGTCGCACTCTTAAAATAGTGCTCAGTATTGCGCGATGATGCGCGATAGTATCGAACGGAAGTACGAATTGAAATAAACAAACCTGGCGGATTTTCTAAAATTACAGAAACAGAAGCGTCGACCTACAAAAGCGATCGGCGAAATAAAGAAATTTTTGGTAGCAAAACTGTCTCAAAGCTGAAAAAACCAAAGGCGTCATGATCTGGGTAATATTTTAAAGAGTCTTTTGGCGAAAACCGCATGTGAATCGATGCAGCCATTAAAAAGCCTTCTGAATAGCAAAATTTTGATCAATCTGGGCCTCATTGTTTTTGTTTTATAAAGGAATGAAAATTATTTATGAAATGGGGTAGTAAGATAAATTGATGCAAGAATACTGGTAAAAGTTTTATAAAAATCGGTGCTGGCAGTCAAAAGTTATCTGAAAAAAGCATGGCATTTTTTAATTGGAAGGGCTATACAACAGAACTAGCCGTGGGTAGCCTATAATATGAGAACAGTTATACATGTGAATTAAACGGAACAAGTCTCACATTGCCTGCAAGAGACAATTTGTAATAAACCAAAATCATAGTGCTGTCAAAAATTCGTGGCCCAACTTATTAACAAATATCTCCTGAACTGTTGATCTTAGTTTCTCCAATTTTGCTCAATAACGTGTATCAATTTGTCTTAACAGATAAACATTTTTGTTAAAACCTGCTAGCTGTGTTCTAGAAAATTCCTCAACAGATACTAATAAAAAATCCAAGTTGGTGGTTTCTGCAGATTTTGTACATGTTTACAGTTGGGGCAATACAGCTTTTAATAGCAAGTCCGTCATGTTTGTCTAAGCGGGACATTGTGCTTATTGAACGCATGTTTGTCTAAGCGGGACATTGTGCTTATTGAACGCATGTTTGTCTAAGCGGGACATTGTGCTTATTGATCGCATGTTTGTCTAAGCGGGACATTGTGCTTATTGAACGCTTTCTTTGAGAACCATTTGTGCCAAAAATATGTTCACTATAACATTAATTTCTTGTAAAAAGTTTTCCCACATAAAATTGTCGTTGATGAGCTGTGACCTAGGCCATATGCGTAATCAAAATGTATGTTAGAAGTGGGAAGTGCTGTGAACAATCCCATTTTACGTGTGACAGAGATTTCAAGTAGATCTATTTTATATAAATGTATGAAGAAACGTAGTTTAATCTGACCACAATTGTTCAGGAAAGATATGATTTAATTAATTAAGACAAATTGATACAAACTGCTGTCCAGAGTATGGATGATTCATCCGTTAAAGAGATATTTGAGAATAAGTCGCGCCATGAATTTTTGACCGCACTACAGTTGCTTTTTTTCCTGCAATATGCCAATTTGTAGTAAACAGAGCTATAAAAATTTGTATTTTTTCTGCAATTAAAATGACAATTTGCATTAAACAGAACTGATTGAGTGTTTCCTACAATTAATTATGACAATGTGCGTAGTAAACAGAGCTAGTTGCCATTTTCCTGCAATATTATGAGAAGAATTTCATTGTATCGACTTGCTCTTCCTTAGCTCAAACAACCAACAACAAATGCTATTGTCTCACGGCACTCGCCTAGGTGCTGTAGGGTCATGAACTCTGACCAGCTTCAGGCAGTGCCTTCAAACACACACACACACACACACACACACACACACACACACACACACACACACACACACACACACACTGTCTGACGGCGTATCGTCGTGTTGGGGGGGCTTGTTATGTTTGTTGTGTGTTGTTCTTTCAACACGACTGTGCCCGTCCGTCGTCCACTAGGGCAAATTGAATTACGGCCGGCGTGCCAAGCGCTGACTGGCCATATTTAGAAGTCCTGTCAACACGGCGAGATAAACATACTGCTGCTGCTGGTGGTGACATTTCACATATCTGCCTGTTTGGTTTTTTGTTTGTTTGTTTCTTTCTTTCTGTCTGTCTGTCTTTCTTTCTTTCTTTCTGACTGTCTGTCTGTCTGCAACCCCCCTGTCTCTCTCTGTGTCTCCCATTCTCTCTCTCTTTCTCTCTCTCTCTCTCTCTCTCTCTCTCTCTCTCTCTCTCTTTCTTTCTCTCTCTCTTTCTCTCTCTCTCTCTCTCTCTCTCTCTCTCGATCCCTCTCTCTCTCTCTCTCTCTGTCTCTCTCTCCATCTATTTCTCTCTCGTGTCTGTCTCTCCTATGTATCTGCCTCTCTCTGTCTCTCTTCCCGTCTTTATCTATCTCTCTCTCTCTCTCTCTCTCTCTCTCTCTCTCTCTCTCTCTCTTTCTCTGTGTTTGTGTGTGTGTGTGTGTGTGTGTGTGTGTGTGTGTGTGTGTGTGTGTGCGTGTCCCTATCTGATCTCTGTGCGTATTTATCTGTCCGTTATGTTTATATCTATAATATGCATGTACTAAATTTCTCGACGAGGGGGGGGGGGGAGGATCTGTCATTGCAAAACTGTTCAGGTAAGAGAATTCCATATTCTGAGGCGAACAAAGCTCTTATAAAACCTAGATAGGCGGCTCTCGTGGTCTAGAGGTTATTTTGTTCGCCTCTTATTCAATTGGTCCCGAGTTCGAAACCTGACAGCGACGGAAAATTTTCTTCTTTCACCTCCTTTCCTGTTCTCTAAAAATGTTCTGTCGGGTACTTTTGTCTCCACTTTCTTTTGAGTGATTATATATCTTAGGCGACCCTTATCATAGATGAAAAGTTAATGTGCTAAATTATGCAAAGTTCATTTAGTTTGAACAAGTGCAGTATGCTGCATGAGTGTGTAGTGCAAGGCTTTAACATGATGATTGGGTGAATACATTTTAAAGTTTCTCTTGGACGCCATTGTATAGTGTATGCCCATGCTCTGACGCAATCTCTGTTCTCTATAGGCCTACAATAATTGTGCATGACCCAGGCAAACTCTAGAACTCTGAGAAACGTTCTCAGCATCCAGAGAAACTTACTACTGTGCAAACAGCCAATTAAGCGCTTAAACTCAAACGCAAAAAAAACAACTTACAAGACCTTTCACTGTCTACAGCCAGGTACCCATTCCCACCTGGGTGAAGTGAGGTAAAGTCGATTAAAGCGCCTTTCCGAAGGACACAACGTCTGGTCCCTAACGGGGTTTGAACCCATGACCTTTCAGTTACAAGCCCCAAAGGCTAATAGTGTAATGGGTAGTAACAGGAGAAAGACATACAAGATGAGAGATGAGCAGATTTGTTTAGAGCTTTACGGCACTTGCAGCATAATAAGGTCATATATAAATGAAAAAAAAAATTGGAGGTGTTGCAAGAGAGTAACAAACACTAAAAGGAGAAGGGATGAGGACGATAGATATTTCATGGGGTAGCAGGAACGAACCATACCAGAGCACCCGCCAACCACCCAGGCGTGGGCAGAGGTAGTAGACTGAGAGGGGTTGGGGGAGAACGTTTGAGTTAAGAGAAGTTCATCGACACAATGATGGACATAATTTAGAGCTGTGAAAAAGTAAGACAGACAGACAGACAGACAGACAGACAGACAGACAGACA